TTTTGGGTCTAGGGTTTAGGGTCTGGGGATGAGGGCTTAGGGCCAAGGCATGTTTATGCGCCCATTGGGCAGCCAGTTTTGTGTGCTGGCTCGGGCCCCAAGCGCTCACTGAACCAACCGATTTCTGTGCAGGATTGACCTTTCACTTTACCGACCAGACTACGATCCGACAAGCCTGGAACCTTAAACTTAACGCACCCCTTACGCCGTGACCGCTTTCGCCGCTAAGCCCGGAATCCCCATAAACCTTTTTAGACCACGACAGGCCCCAAATCCCTGTAAGGCCCCTAAACCGCAATAACACCTTAAGCCGTGCAAACACTACGACGCCTATGATCCCTACACACTCTGACCTCAGCGGCAGCTGCCATCAAAAGGGGATTTCCCGCGCATCTTCCGTGTCAGCGGTGCCTTGGGGTGCTGTTTGGGCAGGCTCGGCAGGCGGTTTAGGTTTAGGGTTTAGGCTTCAAGGTTTCGCGTTAAGGGTTCAGGGTAGGTTTAGAATTGCGGGTGTAGGGTTTGGGCTTGCGTTGCTTCGCATCTTCCTTTTCTCGTGCAAGCTGTTCGAATGCCCCTACACACAGTGCAAAAGGGGGTCTGAGCTTACTTAAGGATCTGGGGTCCGAGCACCCAAACACTGCGATCTTAGGTTCCAGGTGCAAAAGTCGCAGTGGCTTCCGCTGCTTGAGACCCCCTTCGATCCACTTGGTATTTGGGCCCAAAAACAAAGCAATAGCGAGCTTGCCTCATGTTTGCCCTTGGGTGCAGCACATGCAGAGCACGCGACAGCTGTAGCCTCTCGTTGAAATTGGGTCTCCTGTCACCTTAGAGTGCATTTTACATGTCAGCTAGACACGAAGGCGTAACCATCTACAGGGTGCGCAGTGTACTTCTGGGTTTGGAGGGTGTCAACCATTTCCATATATGGTTAGCAGGTTTTTGGTCTAGCCTGGTCCCAAAAGTTGCTTAGATTTGGGTCATACCCTATGCACGTGGGCAGTGGTGAACTTGTTGCTGACGTTTGAGGACACTGCTTAGTACTCCTCTTAATGCGGACCCTACTTGGAGGGTTGAGGGACTTGGTAAGTATACTGAGACTAGCTAACGCCATTACTAACCTACTTACTAAACCTCCCCTGACCCTCCAAGTAACGGTTAGGGAGATTCTTCGGAGGTCTGGAACATTGGGGTGTGGTCCTTAGGCTCTTAATCCCAGAACGGGGGTCTTTCCTTCTTCAGTGTGTTAGGACCAGCGGCATCGAACAACAATCCGAGGGAAAACAGATTTCCATGCTTTGGGGACATGGGAGTTGATTTAAAAGGTCCTTGCTAGTCAAGCTAGTCTAATCGGGAAATCGATTCCCTAACACGGTGGCTGAAGTCTCTGGGCCAAACAGCGTCTCTACTTCTCATCATAGAAGGGTTCTCGGATACCACAAGGTAAAAACGCATAAAGTGCATCTACTCAGCTGTTCTGCTAAGGAAGCCCCATAATAGGGGGCCCCATCTATGGCGGCCCCAGATCAAGAGACCGTATGAGAGCGTAGAGGCTTTAGGTTCCCTTCACCTTCCAGTAGCCCCCATATCGTCTCCAAGAATATGGGTTGTTCGCAAAATTGTGGACTAAAGGCAGTATTTTGCGGCATCGAATTAGCGGTGCCAAATGGGACCCTAATCTTGGAAACTACCCATATAGCAACTAACTTCCACTTTCTCATCTATCCCTTCATTGCCTAGTAACCAGAGGTAAGAAAACCCCTAAACCCTACACCCCTAACCCCTAAAACCCTAAACCCCCAGAAAACCCCTAAACCCCAAACCCACTAAACCCCTAACCCCACCCTAAACCCTAAACCCTAAACCCTAAACCACTAAACCCCTAACCCCTCAAGGGCTCCAGGGCCTGGGCGAATTAGGCTTTGGCCTCCGGAACCGGGACGCCCTGGACTACAGGAATGGCCTGACAGGTGGTTCAGGGTCTAGGGTTTGGAAGCTATGGGGGTTTAGGGTTTCGGTTTTAGGGCTGAGGGTATAGGGTTTGGGGGTTTGGGGGTTTGGGGTTTAGGGTTTAAGGATTTGGGCTTAGGGGTTTGGGGTTTAGGGGTTTGGGGTTTAGGGTATAGGGTTTTGGGGCTATGGGGGTTTAGGGCTGAAGGATAGGGTTTAGGGGTTTAGGGGTTTGCGGTTTAGGGCACAGCATCTCAAGTTCCCCTAGGCTGGCTTAGAGTTTAGGGTTCAGAGCTTAGACTTTAGGGTTCAGCGCTTTGAGTTTAGGGTTCAAGATGTAGAGTTTAGGGTACAGGTTTCTTAGTGATGTGGGACCAAAGGGGCGGGTGGGTATGTTTGATAACGCTGCTGAACAAGTGAATACTTCCCTGAGGTTCCACCCATGACCTTGCCCACTAAATATATGACCTCGTCCGCTAAATGAATGACCTTTGACCGCTAAATATCTGACCTTGCCCGCTACATATATGACCTTGCCCGCTAAAATATGACCTCCAAGGTCGTCCTGCCCAAAGAATGACCTTGTCCACTCAGTATATGACCTTGCCCTCTAAATATGTATCCTTGCCCACTAAATATATTTCCCTCGCCCGCTAAATCTACGACCTTGCCGGCTAATCCATTACCATTTGAATTACTATAAGATGTGGAGGTTTAGGATTTAGGGTCAAGGGTATAGGGTTTGGGGGGTTTAGGGTTATGCGGGTTTCGGGTTTAGGGTATGTGGTTTAGAATTTAGTGTTTAGGGTATAGGTGTTAGGGTTATTGGGGTAAAGATGGGGATCTCACGTAAGGATTGTATAGGTCTTCTTATGTTCCTGGAGGATTGCCTGTAAAAAGTTTCAAAGGGCTCTTGTCAAATTGCAGACTGACTTGTGAGGTCTAAGAAGCTTTCCACGCTTGTGTTACGGCTTCATGGGCGCGTAGATTATACAAGGGCTTGAAGAGCCCAACATGCTCCATGCAGGTGTTGGTGAGGGCTTCGCTGGGAGCAAATCGACAGCAGTGGGGGCTTTGCACGCGCGTATCATTGCATGGGCATGCTCTCGTTTTTCTTTTGGGCCTCTACACCCTAAACCCGTCGTTAGTCCTTGATAACGGACACCAGTCTATACAGGACCCGTTGCAAGACTTCCTTTTCAATGCTAGGGCTTAGGGTTTAGGGTAGAAGAGACTTCGCGCCAGATCGGTTTGATTCTTCGGTGCGTCAGCAAGTGGAAATTGAATCCCAAGTTTTTTGCCATCAACCTATCGGAGCGTTTAGGGCTAATCTGTCACCCAACATCAATGCAGCATAGTAATCTCAACCTGTTGCTAGGTATAATCCACTACGCTGTGGATAAACGGAATTACATGTAGCGTCGAGGCCTTCGCAGGCCGCAGGAACGTTGAGAGAACAATATCAGGATTTGAAGGGCTGGGAGGTTTCAAAAAACTGGGCCCGTCTTTTAACGCGCTACAGGGCTTGTATGGGGCTATATAGGGGTTTAAGGTTAGGGCTTCCAATAACATGAGGGGTCCCAAATTGGAAGTCTCTATTTAAAGGTTTACAATAGTATGGGGTACACCGCAACGACCCCAGTGTTCGGAAAGACCCTTGCACTAAACACAGCCAGAAAGAAGCGACAGGACGATGGCTTAACACCCCTGCTTGGACATTGATGGGTGTAGATATAAGTACGCGTATATATCATACGTGCACAAAAACGATAATCTTAACCCAGCTATATTTAATGACGGATGAACCTCTAAGTCTGTTCCTCTATTTGAAACCTCTAGGCAGAGTAATCAATGAACCCATAAAAAAGGCTTTGTACCCAGTAGTGTTTCGGCCTTTGTTTCAAGGTCTAGGCTCCTCTAGGCAGCTGCACTGCAAGAGGCCTCAGGCTCTGATATGCTCTGTTCCCTTTTGCTGCAGCTCCACCCTACACCCTAAACCCCTCTACATGCCGAAGTCCGGATGTAGACCTTCAGTTCCAAATCCGCATCCCCAACCCCAGGGCTTAGGCTTCAGGGTTGAACTTAAAAACCCTAGACCCAAAGCCCTTAACCTAGAATTCGAAAACCTGTGCACTTTGCAAACTACTGGCACGAAAAAAGTGTCAAATCCAAAGTACCGTGCACTCTCATGCAGGCTGCTATGCATAGACCCCTACTTACAGGCAACCCGTTGGATACCCTCCTTGTCTCGTCCTTGAAGACACCGACCCCAGAACTACCCACGTTCACTCCTGGAACTCGAAACCCCGATGGACTTACATTCATTCCTCCATTCCTCTGATTCTTCCCCCACATGGCAGTTTCCCAAAATTAGGGTACCCCAATATAGACCCCAGTATACTATAGTCCTTATTATTGGGACCCCCAAAAAGGTACCCCTAATTTTGGGAAACCCCCAACATCCAAATCATCCAAACCCTGCATGAAGCCGGAGCCCTACACTAAACTTCTGGAGCAAGCACCTGCTGCTGCTGTTGTTGCTGCTGCTGGAGTAGCTGCTGTTGCTGCTGCTGCTGCTGCTGCTGGAACTGCTGGAACTGCTGAGCCTGGTGAGCTCCCAAGGCCTGACAGTCATGCAAGTAACGGTCTTGAAGACGAGGAGGCCCCTCTGTACAGACCAATATACTATAGATACCCTGAGAATGGACAATCCATTTGTTGGAAATTGTTGGAAACTTTCTTTTAAGGTTTCGAGAAACAAGGCCAATGTTCGAGTCGAAGGATTCACGGCTTTAGGGTATGTCAGGGTTGGGGGTGAAAGGGCCAAGGTTTAGATGGAAAAGGTTTGAGCGTCAGGGCTTGGCGCTTTGGGTTAGGCTTTTAATGCCTCATAGGCCAGCTAAATAGGGATGCTGACGAGAATATATGGGAAGCTCTTAAAGTAATTTTGGTCTTGAGGACCTGCGAAGTACGGGGAAATTCTAGGGGTCCTCCCCTAGCGAACTTTACAGGGACTGTTTGAAGAACGCCCAGGTGAAGATGCTTTTGGTTTAGCGCATTCCACCGTATGCCCGCTGTTGGTACGAGCACACATCCTCTTTTACTCTAGAAGCTCGTAGCTACATGGGGCTACCAGGACATTGTTGATCTATGATGTATCTTTGGGGACAACATTTTTCGGAAGCCATTGCATTTGTGCAGGTATCATGCCTCTTTCTGTCATGCTTACTGAATAGAACAACAACATATCAGTGCTGAAATCAGTTTACCGCCCATCTTTACCTAGCTCAGAATGGACTGTGCAGGGGACTTGGTATCCAGGAGTCCTGTTGTTTTGCAGTCACCCAGGGGTCCTCTTTAGCCAAGCCTTACATGGTCATAGCACTAGTAGGAAATAACAATCACACTGGGGATACCCTGATAATGGAGAATCAACAGGAAAACAAACTGGAAACTGAAGTGGACACTTACATTGTATGGGGTTATCGCCCTAACGTAATCACTAGACTCCCTCGTTGCGCACCATCAGCGGCCCTTGCCACCGAAGCCCCAGATGCCCAAACCCTAGACTGTAAACCCTTCACCTTGGACCGTCTGTATGCCGCCCCAATCCCTGAGATCTATCTTGCCCCAAACCCTGTAACCTAAATCCCTAAGCGGGCGTGGAAATGGCAATGACGTTCGGAAGTCAGACACTTCATCTCTGTTCACTTCCACCTAATTTTTAACGCCGCTGTCTTCGTTAGTCTTGACCATGCACATCGCAAGCTAGAACGCCAGGAGCATCCATGTCTTTGGCGATTCACACGAGGCAGTAGGCAAAAGAAGTTGTTGTTGGTAGCATGGTCAAGACTGCTACAGTAGATCCTGCAAGGGAAATTCCCTATAGGCTGCTTGCACCCAGGCTGACGTGTGGCTTAGGGTTCAGGGTTAAAAAGGGGCCCTACTGGAAACCCAATGCTGTTCTCAATACGGCACTCTCAAGGAGCCCAAATACGCGACTCAAACCGCTATACAGCCCCAGTGGGCCCTTTCAGAAAGATACTGCCCGCCTGCTGGATCGCCTGTGCCTGCATTGCCTGAGCCTGCAATGCCTGTGCCTGCAGTGCTTGCGCCTGAGCGGTGCTTCATGTAAGGGATGGAAACCCTAACAAAAGAGAGATTGCACAATGAAAGGGAAAGCGGGATTATACATATCCGGATTGTGGGCTTTAAGGGCCCGACGCATTCATCAGCATGAGGTTCTGAGGTAGTTATATGCACTATAACCTCTAGAGCTATCATGAGGGAATATGCTCCCAACAGGATGCTGACCTTGTTCTGCATACTGACCTTGTTTGAGCTACTTGGAGGTTACATGGGCCATAGTCTGTACTCCGGCTGCCCGTCTATAACCCCTATAATACTCCCTTGAAGAATCCCCTGTAAAACACCCCTTTAAAGAGTTTATACTACAGCTTATAACCTTGTCGGGGGCACTTCGAACCGTACTCATAAGGTTTAGGCTTTAGGACCCACAAGCCCTAGAGAGTTCAGAGATTACGTTAGTGAGTTTAAGGCTTGGGTTTTCAAGGCTTCAGAATTTCATTCGAGGCTTTAGACAACAACTGGGCAGGTTAGGCGGGATGAACTTGAAACCATAAACCCTAAACCCTAAAACCTGAGGCCCGAATTCCTAAACCCCATACCCCTGAGAATAGAGGTTTGGGTTTTGTGGCTTTAGGCTTTCGAGCGATTACGGGTTTACGGTTTCTAGGTGCTAAAGTACCGAGGTTGGGTCACAGTTCCTAGCAGAACACTGCATTATATCAGATTATATTACATTCCATTAATTAAGTTACATTGCATTGCCTTACATTAAGTTGCATTACAATCCATTAAGCTACATTACATTACATTAAGTTACATTACATTACACTACATGAAAAATGCATACAACCTAGATACCCACATACAGTCATACAGACACACAGGTAGACACGCATGCATGCAGGCAGGCAGGCAGGAAGGAAGGCTGAAACATGCGTACATACATGCATACATACATATCCTGTACATTATAAACTTGCGTCCAAGCCCCATTCTGTTTTCAGCATGCCCTATGCTACATTAGTCTACTGCAGCTTGCATCATAACGGCAGGCGTAGCATTCGCTGAATCTCCCAGTGGAACAACCAGTCCTTGTACTTCGAGTACTAGGGCAATTTCAAGAACAACAACCCTATGATAAGAGCCATAGGATAATCATGGGGTCATGGTTTCGGAGGATGCAGTAAGCATAATTCTCTTGTTACTCACCACACATCCCGGCGCAACGCATATGTAACCTCATTTTTACTCGATTCTCCATCATTCTTATCCTATGAACCCTGAACTCTCAACCCTTAAACCTTAAATCATGAATTCCCTAGATGAGCCCTACAAATTCCGGTCAAGGTGCCCCAGTGGGATCCCTTGGATCATGCATGGGTTTCGTTTGGGTTTTGGGATTGAGGGTTTCACACCCCGTTTTGTAGAGCCTGGAAGTCAAGGGAGGCTTTCCGGAGAGTCCCCAGTAAGATTAATCTCCTCCAATTGGGTGGTTGTCAAAATTATGGTCCCTTTTTTGGGTACTCTAAATATTAGGTGCTGTATTATAATAGGGATACAAAAAGGGACCATAATTTTGACAACCACACAATTAATATATCAAAGCCCCCCCCCCACACCCCTTCTACTTTTGTGGCCTGCTAATTAGGCGGTGGTGGGTTTTAACATCAGGGGCATGGGGCATATACCCAAAACCCACAACCTTTCCTAGACGAGCCAACACCGCCCCGCCTGGGCCGTCTGGGCGGCACGTGCAGCAAGCACGTCTCCCAGCATCTGCTGACGCATGTCCTGGCTGGGGCCCGGAAGCTTCTTGGTCTGGGAGGGCGTTCACGTGTTTGATATGGCCAGGGCTTGGGGGTCGGGGTTGTAAAGGGGGGGAGGCTTTAGGGCCTTTAGGGTCTCCGGCTTAGGGTTTACCGGGTAGATCCAGAGCATTTTGTAGGGGCTACCCCTAGGTTCTGCTTCAGCCCTCTAAAAGGAGCTCTCTGAAAGGGTACGACATTGCAAGGCGAACGTGGGGTCATTCCTAAGGGTCCAGGGACCGAAAACTTGTATTAAATAAAGGTTCTGCCTCTAAAGCTTATGATTGTTGGTCATGTAGGAACGTACGGTCAAGGGCTACTTTGCGCTTTGGGACGTGCAGCTCGTGTGAAAAATCGTTCCTGGCTTGCTTGGAGTTTGATGGATTTTGTAAACTGCGGGAATAAGCAGGCTAACTTGTAGCATGATGTTTTCGGGGGTACACAAACCCATTGCTTAATTTCCCGAATCCCAAAATACTTTATGACCTTATTTGCCCTATCCAGGCCACGTAGAAGAGTCATAACTACCTGTCACCCTGCAAGGGTGGCAGAAAGGGTTTCAAGATCATCTGAACTATACTCTAAACTCCTAGCATCCCCCTAAATGAGCCCTACCTATAATACCCATAATCCCTGATATAACCCACTTGAAGGGTCCCTGAGCCCTGCCTATGATACATATAATCCCCTATATAGCCCACTTGAAGGGTTTAATTAGACTCTAGCCCGTTTGGGTTTCTGGCACCATGCTGGGATGGTCCGAGCCTCGGGTAGGACTTATAAGGGATGTATAGGACTTTGAGCCTCCAAGCCCTAAACCCTACACCTTAAACCCTTAAACCTCTAAACTACAGTACATTAAACCTTGAACACTAAGGGCTGATCTCCTGCAATCCCTGAAAAACAAACTCGCCGAGAGAAACGCGAGTTCGAGTTCTGACATGATGCTAGACTATCTGGTGCTTAGTAGGGAGTATGGGAACGTTTAGAGTTTAGGGTTCAGGGTAGGGAATATGAGAATGTATCATATAGGAGTTACATAGGGATCATCATTTCCTTACTCGCTGCTAACCCCGTGCAATTAGAATGATGGCTGTAACTCAGTTGAGGCGCCCACCCACTCATGGTGACGACAAAGGATAATAGCAACTAGATCAGGGTCCATGGGTCCTTACATGTCCCAACTATACCCCTCTTGCTGAGTCCTGACCGCAACCATAACTCATAACAAGCATTGAATAATTACAGGGGCTGCCTGCTTTGACAGTTCCTGGAAAGGCTGTCCGGCTCGGGACCTAGGGGACCTGGATGGCTGAAGGGTTCGTAGGGATTATCCCTGGGGCTACAATAGAATGATCACACGGCGTTTGATAGGTACTAAGCGTAATAGGGCTGGGACGTTTTGGGGGGTTGTGCAAAGTTCAACGTTGAATGCGCACCTTGCATAACAGGGAGTACACCATTAGACCTAGCTGCGTTCCAAGGACGCTCTTGGACCCGGAACCTTGAACAGATCAAAAATCAAAGCTGGTAAACGAGACCAACTCCCAAACTGCGAGTGAACCCATACAGCAGATGTTGCAATGCGTCATAAGACCTTAATGCTGCGTCCGCTATGTTTCGGCAGCCACTTCAACGGTTTGAGGCCAATGCTTCAAGGCTTCAAGGCCCTTTCATGTGTTTAACTTCTGGGGTCCTTGCATCATTCAGACCATCCGACTGAAATCCATCCTCAGAGCCCTCAGAGCCAAAGGGGGGCCGTTTTTATCCCGAACCTTGTTGGTTTCAAGGCTAGGGTCTCGGCTTACTTGAAGACTGTCCCAACACTCCCCGAAACCGCGGGCGTAATCGCATGAGCCCCAAAAGCTGCCTGAAATCATCCCTGTATTCTCCTCCCGTGTGGTAGATGGCTCAGGAGGGTCTTGCATCTTTGCAGCTGCCTGCGCTGTGCAAGAACTGGAGGGTCAAGACCAGCGGCCAATGTCAACATGCAATGTAGTGCTCACTTAGCGGTTTATGACTATTTGTAAGAAGAACGTTTCAATACCCCACGTCAAATTAGAGCTAGCTGCTGCTTTCGAGTTTCTTCGCTCAGCTACAACTATCCATGAACCTCGCTTCTAGGCAAAAATGAAACTGCTTGAGCACAGGTGAAACACGTCAAGGAAGATTGCGTAAGAATATTGGGATAAATTTGGGGTTATATTGGGATAATGGAAAATAAAACGGAAACAAGAATATTATGTAGGTGTCATATAGGGGTGATGGGGCAGGAGGGTTCCAAATAAAATGAAAGATGCGCTGAACCGCTTATAAGAGCTCAAACCTAATGAAGTACGCGCCGTATTCACTGTTGCTAATCTGATGTTGAGGTGCTTGCTAGGAGGTTCAGGGGCACTTGTCAAGTATACTTTATATCCCCTATAAGCCATATAGCAACCCCAAATATCCCCATCATGAACCTAAGTCCCCTGACTCTCCCTCCAAGTAACATCAACTCGAGATTGGCTGTGGGCAGGGCGAGGATGCTTTGACATTTCCCAGAAACCTCAAACCCCATAAACCATCAACATCACTGTACTACTTTGACGCACACACGGCAGCGCAAAGTCCCCTTCACTTTCCTGAACTCCTAAGCCTCAAAGCTTAGGCAATTCCCCTTACATAGGGTTATATGTATATGTGTATATATGTAATATATTTACCTATTTATCTATCTATTTATGGATGTATATCGGGAAATGCAGAAGAAAATGGATATTCCCCCTACTATAATGGCAACCACAAGAAGCAATATGATCACAACAACAATCCCCTAGTGTAAGCCCTTTGAGGACAGTTACTTCCTAAAGGAAACCTTGAACTGGAAAAACCTTAGTAACTACAGGATTTAGGATTAGGAGCTTAGGGCTTAGGAGACTGGATAAGCCCTGAAAACTTGAACCCCCTAAGCGCTAAATCTGCTGAAGCCTAAAACCTCCAAACTCCCTGAGCCCTTAGACCTAAGACCTAAAACCCTAACGCCCTGAAGGATGTCCACTGCCCACTTATTCCGAGGAGCCTCTGCCATTGTCAGGAGTGCACCAGGCCTCGCCTCTGCGAGATCACCAGGTTTAGGTTCCACATGTAATGGAAAATCACTTAGGATTTAGGGTCCTGGGGACAGTGACATGGAAACTGAGATGATATAGGGACTTACATGGATTACGTAATGTGAAATGGTAGTTATCTAGGGCTTAGGGATGTTTACTCCCTGTACATGGAAACTCACATGGAAAAGGAAATGGATGGTGATATGGAAACTTTGGGCTTCTTTCAAGGGCTAGATAGGGTTACATTTTTGACAAAGCATCAGCGAGGGTCTAGGGGTGCAAAATTGAGGGCCCTGAGCGCAGGAAGGAGCATAACAGAGGATTGTGGGGACCCGTTCAGTTTGACACATGAGTCAAGGGTTCCAGGTTGTATCCGTAGCAATACATTGCGGAACATTTACATGGGAGTCTCCATAAACACCCGGGTTAGAACCTCAAATGGAACATTCCTCGTTGTAGGGAGGGTGGCTTTCAAAAAGGGCACCAAATTTTCAGAAACCACCACCGTGGGATCATGTAACTTCAGTGTCCATCGTCTCTGTTGGGTTTTAGTTCAAGGAAAACTTGAAACCGATCCAGCATGACCCAGTGTAGGGCTTGGGGCATGAGGTTGTTAGCTTTCGTACCGTTGGTTAGGTAGGAATGGCGGCATGGATCCTTATAGTGTTGTCCTTATATAACCCCTTATAATCGTTTCCATGTTCTTCTCCATTCCTTCTAAACCCTAAACCCTAAATCCTACAGTAGTTCCCATTGTCTTTATTTCTTCATTCCCAGCGGACCAAAGGAAAGCGTAGGTTTCAAGCCCTGTTGGTATCGGCATTGAGGGCTTGGGGCCTCTGTCACGGACCCCTACATCAGTAACCTGACTAGGGTTTAGGTTCGAGGGTCTAGGAAGAGGTACTGACCTGGAATGAGAGCCCACTACAATGGTTCACTACAACGGTTCATAGTCTACATCTACTCCAAACACCTGTCCAGCAAGCATGGGGCCATCCCACCAGGATCCAACTCTCTGATACCGGAAGCCGTGACTAGAAGAAGGATTCGCCTTCTGTGTTGCTAGGTACATTTTGGAGGGCTTGGAGGTTTAGGGAAGCCTGCGGGCGTGTAGCATTGCGTTGTTCGGGCACTACAGGCCTGTGGACCCTAAACCCTAAGCCCTCCAGGAGTTGTGGCAGTTGAAGCTGCCGACTTAAGGTGATTCTTCGACAACAAAAATGAGCCAAGAAGCCCATATCTCTTCTGGCGCGGATTTGTTGTACAACCGTAGTATGGCAGTTCATCCAAAACAGAGGCGCCTGTACACCGCAAAAACAGTACAGTCTGTCTGAAACAAAAAGAGACCTTCTTGGAAGTCTCCATAGACAGGGACCGCTTATCTTGGGGCCCCTGTTTATGGAACTTATCCTTCTGGGAAACCAACAAAATGACATTGCGCACAAAGAGCCCTAAACCCTAAGTCCGATCCTTGCAGCGTGCCGGATCTTTCTTCTCCGGATGACCCGGGATGATGTTGACACCCCAATCTCCTGATGACCCTAGTATATGAGAACCCTAATGAACTCCAAGGCCTTTACCAGAATTGCCGAGGTATAACGTACCCAGGGTCATGTAGGATGTAAAAACCAATGCAGGCTTTGAGAAGTTGATTGGCGGGTCTAAGGTTACTCAGAACTCTTGATATCTCCACCAAAGAACCAAGTAGCCATACACCTCGGTCACATCACCCGCACATTCGTGAGGTTCTGCTACACGTGTCGTGCTACGTTTGGGGCTGCGGTTGTGGTCTGCCACGTTCATGAATCCCAAGCTCCCTGTCAGATCTAGTAGAAGAATTCGCAGTCAAGAGTCCTCCAGCCCCAATGGGGAGCCGTGACATCTCAGTGAAAAGCTGGCGGACTTTCTGAAGCCTTCACGGCTGATTTCACGTTCACCCCTTGGCCAGAAAAGGAGAGCGCTGCACAAAAAGGTGGGTTCATTGAACCCTGCCAGAAACAAAAAAACGCACAGCCCAAGCTTTGACCCGGCAGTGTGGCGCTCCAGTGTTTGTGGTCACGCAACTCAGGCCAAAGTGGGTTGCGGGTAATGTAATCTAAGGTCCCAGTATAAATACTATAACCCGTGCAACGCATAAACCTGAAGGAAGGAAGCCTTGCGGTTCACCACGGCATTCACCGATCCCATCACGGCGGTACCCACAATCTGGCCAGGGACATTGGTAATAACAGCAAGAACTTTCAAAAACGTATTAGTTAGCAACAACAATAGTAACAGCCCAGCAGCAACGAGACATGGTAACAACAATAAGACTGATGATAAGGACACGAAGACTACTGAGTAATGATATTGATAACGATGACAAAGCCCAAGTAACAACAAACAGAAGCACAACAAGTGTAGGATTCCAATTCAGGGGGGCAGCTACCGCGGTGTTGGTGTTGTCAGGGTCGTGCGTCCATTGGGTTACGGCGTTCAAGTTTGGAATAAGCTTCACGATCTAAGTTCACCATTGCTTGTAATGGGGTGCAGGGGGCACGTGGCACCGGGGGTAATTGTGGGACGTAAAGCTCATCATGGGCTTGTCTGAGTCGCTACTCTTTTGACCTGATGCACTGCATACGTGCAATATTTCCTACAGAATTCAATCTACGTGCGTGCCTTATCAGGGCCTATACTAAATGCGCTGTTGAAGATTTCTTAATAGTAGCTCATGTGATGACATGCACTACCACAGGCCTTAGGCTCTAAATGAGCAACAAACAGTACCTCTGCCCTAAACCCTAAACCTTAAACCCTAAACCCAAATTCACACTTCGTGCCGTGAACTACTCCCAGTCTGAAAAGCTTTTTCACAAAATCTCCATTATGTGCAATTGTTGCACTACTTGAAGGGTCAGGGGGACCTAGTAAGTAGTAGAATAATTAGGATAAACAGGGGTAGTACATGGCTTACACTATAGGACTTACAATTATGGTTACTAAGCCCCATGAACTTCCAAGTGGATGGATTAGCTCAACTCGTTCCCACAGAATCTTGAACTCTAAACCCTAAGCTCCCGGCTCCCCAGCCTCAAATCCAACTCCTCGTAGGGTAACGGGTGATCATATCGCTCGAAACCCTGCAACTCCAAATAATCCCAAGTCTGCACGATTTAAAGGCTTTGGGGTCCAAAGTGGGTATTACTCATAGACTCAGGGCCTTATGGACATGAGCCACAAAAGAGCCCTGAAGATGAATCTCAACCCAAAACCCCAAATCCTGAACCCCCAAGCCCCCTCAACTCTTAAGCCTAACCTCCCCACACCCCAAAACTCCATAGGCAGAACTCCAAGCCCCCCAAACCCTAACCTTCGTCCTCTAAACCCTCAGAACAAGCCTCTTTTCGGGTGGATGAGGATAAAATCATACTCTGTATTGGGTAACTCTAGGAGCCCCAAATAAATCCGCTCTAGAATCAAAGCCCTTCACTCTTCAGACAATGAATACATGGATACCCGGAACCGTTACATGATGAGAGGAATATTCTAACCCCCGAAGTATCCCCCTAACCTCTAAACCCTAACCCCTAAACCCTAAACTCTGAACCCTAAACCCTGGCCCCTAAGCCCTGAACCCTAAACCCTAAACTCTGAACCCTGAACCCTAACCCCCAACCCTGAAACCCAAGCCCTGAGGGCTACTCACCCCTCCCTGCGGCCCGGATGGTGACCCCGGAGTTGGCCAAGGTCTCGGGTACCGCGCCCTGGCCTGGGACTTGCGGGTTTAGGGTTTAAGGGTTGGTGCTTAGGATCGGGGTTTAGGGTTTAAGGGTTGAGATTTGGGTGTTAAAAGCTTACAGTTTGGGATTTAGGGTTTAGGGCGTAAGGTTCAAGGGTTGGGGTTTACGGCTGGGTTTAGGGTTTAGGGCTTAGGGTTCAGGGCTTGGGGTTTAGGTTGGTTGTACTGGGTAGGCTGTAGGGACATGTCGGAATTTCTCAAAATAGGGGAGCCCAAATATGAAACCCATGTACTGTAAAATCCATCTTATTGATAGGGCTTCTCTGAACAGGACGCCTGATGTTTGGAACCCACTTATAAGGTTCAGGGTTTGGGGCTAGAGGGATTAAAGTTTAGGGTTCGAGATTTAGGGCTGGGAGCGTAAGATATATGTATATATATATATTCATAAATATATTCTCTCTCTCCTATTTGGTCTCATTCTCTCTCTCTCTCTCTTTCTCTGAGTTCGGGACCTGGGGCATGATGTTTGAACTGCCCGGCGGAAGCAAGGAGTACTCCCAAAGCTAGGAAGGCTTTTTCTCCTGCGCAAACTTTTCTGGTTTTCTCAGGCATTGCCGACATTTTTGTCCAGCCACTTTTGAAATCCTGCGAGTCTTAAAAGCTTGCTCACGTTCACCTTTGCAGTTGACGATGCGCACAAGTAGAAGACGCTCTCGCCTTCATCAGGACGATACATTGCGCATGGGGCCAGCCGCCATAGCACGTCCAGCATTGAGAAAGAAGCGTGTTCAAACCACACATCGCTCAAATACATGAACGGAAACCTTGGACAAGGTCTAACGCTTCGAGCATTTGTGAAAACAGCGGTCACAAAGCTTATACTTGAAAGTCCAACTGATTTGATACTGTCGCTTCCAGTGCAAACTTCAGAGTCTGTAAGGCTACCAAAAACATCCGAGCTTCCACTGGACACATGGCCGTAATATGGCTTTTTCTAACAGATCCGGAAGAAGGCGCGCAGTTGCAACAAGCAAACCAACATGCTCAATCCGAATCAAACATGCTATGAATCATAGTTAAAGCGGCTGCAGACATTGAACATGCAACATGTTTTTGATTGCAAGTACAAAGTAGCCGGGCGCGACCTCTCGGGCGTTAACTAAAATAACAGCTGTGTCCGGAAGAGTGCATGGGCTGCATTCGTGCTGTGAGCACAATTGTGCTTAGCAATTTGGGTTAGGAGGCAGGTCGCCGTCACGTGCCTCATTCATTCAAAGGACATGGTCCATTAATGCGTCGACGCGGTTTTCTGCGGGTCACATTTGTTGGCGTGGTCCACGGGTCCTGCGCAGGTCCTGCAAGTCCCACGCCACCCTGCGGGTCTCTTGCGGGTCCAAGAGGCGATATTGCTTGCGTGGTGCGGGTCCGCCGTCTTTGCGGCTCATGTGTGTGGCGCGGGTCCGTGTGGGTCCCACGCGGGTCCCACGTAGGTCTCATGCGGGTCCAATTGCACAATAAGTTTAAGAGAGAGAGGGAAGACCAGTGTTGGACATGTCTCTGGTAATTGTCAATTTATGGGTCCGCCCCTGCGGGTCATTTGTGTGGTGGGGGTCCACGCAGATCTGAGCGGTCCTGTACGGGTCCTGTGCGGGGTTTTTGTGGGTCCACGAGGCGCTATTGGTGGGTCCAAGCCTGTCCATCCGTAACCCCCTTTGGCTCAAGCTTCTCTCAAAATGCTTGGTCCTCAAGGACTCCAGGCATAAATGGGGTTCACTAGAGGCCTTCCTTCTCAAAGATGCTAGATGGATGATTTCAAGAATCTTGAGGTAGGGTGCTTGGGGAATTCGGTCTGATACTGCTATGTGGGGCGGGATATATCTAAAGCTCGAAAAACTTCTATCTAGGGGAAGGGTTGTAAAAGGAGGAGAAGGTAAGGTTCTGGGGTGGACGGATTTTTTTGCGATCTAAGCTCTGCTATGTGCATTCTTGGGGACAAAACCCTAAACCCTGAACCCTAAACCCTTATAAGACCTAAACTCTGAACGGTAAACCGTAAACTAAGTTTGCATCCCTCCCTCGCATGTTTTGGTTTATGGGCCTACAAAACTCGGCAGTCGAAACGGTAAATATATTGCTTAGCAAGGGTTCAGAGTTTAGGATTTAGGGTTGCGGGGCCCTGCACGACAGGCATTCTAATGGTCGAGATGCTCCGCCTATTTAGGGTATCGTGATGATTCTCGGGATTGTTGTGTGGGTCGCATTGCAACTCATATACCACGTAGCCTGTGCAAAGCTAGTGTTTTGCGGCATGCAGATTGTGTTAAACCCTGCACCGTAAGCCCTTATCCTGCACAGCAGGCCCTCAACCCAACACCCCAAAAACGCTGCCCTGTAGCCTGAACCCTAAACACTCCAGCCATCCCGGGCGAAGTACCAGTCGTATAGGGCTAGGTCAGAACGGAATCCCGTCCAAAATTCGCTCAACACCTGCCCAAAACTCCTGACCTGCACCCTGACTAGGAATAACTCCAGCGTGACACGGACAAATTCTATAAACCCAGAGCCCTAAAGAACCCTCTTCTACCCTAAGCCCAGAAGCTTCAACCCCATGCACTTCCTTTTAATCCCTAGACCGTAATGCCCTACCCTAATCCCTTAACCCTGAACCTTAATTCCCAAACCCTAAACCCTAAACCCTTCTCATGCCGATGCAGGTTGCTACTGTGGAAGACACCGCCGCCGTCTCCGAAGCCGCCAAGGATGGCGCGGCCGTTCCTCGTTTCTTGAAATTTAAAGGGGTTATATGAGCTACAGTCTCAACTCCCTAATGGGGGATTATGTAGGGGAATATATAGGGGCCTACTATAGGGGTCATTAAGGGGGATACTCGGAGTTTAGACTATAACACATATAGGGATAATGGAAAAGACAATGGAAACTACTATTTAGGGTTTAGGGTTTAGGGTCGCGAGCTTGGGAATTCTTGGTACTTCCACATGGGGGTTGGGATATGCGGTTTAGGGTTTTATTCTGCCTTCTTTTCGCGAAGCTGCTGGACGCTGGAGTTTTAGGGTTTAGGGATTACATCGGAACACGATGGCATCTTACGGCATACTCTTCGAAGACATATCCTCTGAAGCCTGGGCGGATGGTGCAAAGGAGTTCCACCAAGAATCAGGCGTGAGTCTTCAAACAAAAATGGATCCCTAAGCCCAAGGCCTCAAAACTAAACCCTATACCCTGAACCCTAAACCTTATACCCTAAACCCTGAAGCCTAATACCCTGAACCCCATACCCCTCAAACCTCTCAAAGGGGAACCCCAACTCCTGCGAAATCCTCAGCACTTATCCCTAAACTCCGGCCCCCAAGCGCCCCCCCCCCCAGGCCAATACACACGTTGAGGTCGTGTCAGAGATTATTGGGGACGATTCTAGGGCTTCTTATTTAGGGTTTAGGTTGTTGGGGTTCAAAGGGTTTAGGGTTTAGGATTTCGGGCATATTGGGAGGCGCATGCTAGTCCTATGAAATACAAGCACAAACAATGGCTTCAATCCTCCCTTAAACGAAGCAGAGGCACAGCTTGGACTGCTTTCCGCACATGTCTGCCCCACGTTGACCCCTACATATTTCCGAGATCGTCTCATTGGACCCTCCACAACTTCTGCATATGAGCGCTTTTTGTACTTTGGCATCCCAATGCAGAGACTCAGTACATATACACACACGGATACTCAACAATGTTCATGAGAAGCACCAACGAGGAAATGTACATCTCATATCATGCCCATGCTCGGAAGAAAAAACACGAAACACGAAAAAGGTAATTACCACAAGTTTTGGGGAACCCTAAACCTTAGATAGTCATGTCCATTTTCTTTTCCATTATCCCTATCTAGCCCTAAAGAACTCAATAGCAAGCGCTGGTCATGGCTTGGGTTTGCCCCTACCTCATAACCAGGAAGCCCTGAGTTAAGCCCAGAAGAGAACTCTGCGGCCGTGGCACTGCTCCACAGTCACATTGGGCGGAACGACAAGAGTGACGCCACCTAAGTTTTGGGGCTCCCAAGGTCATGTCCACACCGACTTGGGTCCTAGGTATATGGGGGATTGTCAAAATTAGGGTCCCTTTTGGGGTCCCTATTATAATACGGGGCCTAATACGGGGCCTAATTTAGGGGACCCAAAAAGGGACCATAATTTTGACAATGCCCCATATAGTTTCCTGCATAACTACACATGGCTCTACATCAGGCTTCTAGGCTGACATGTTGGGATACCTTATGTTTCCAAATCTGCTGATCATGGCTACGCCTTTTCGGGTTCTCTCTGTCACGGGGTGCTCCTTCGTGAACTTTACAGGCTACAGGGCAAGTTCTGCCTCTACTGAAGGGGCTTCAAGGGTTTCAAGCCCTACTGTCATTACACAGAATAGACAACAGCAAGTCTGTACAACCCTGAGCCTCCAAGCTTTGTATAAGAAAGCTGTGAAAGGATCAGAGCTGCGCCGCCGTGGTTCAGGGTACTATAACAGTCCATCTCAAGAACTACTCAGGGCTTGTCAAAATAGAGGTAGCCGGGAAAGTCCGTTTTTTTTTTGAATTTAATAGGGTTTGGGTTTACGGGATTGATAGAGAATACAAAGAGGTTCTATGGGCTCCCTGAAGACATGTAAAACATGCAGGGAACATTTTGAGAACTCGCATATAGCCGGTTTGAAGAAACTCCCGCATGCAACTTTGGGCTGCTGATTTCAAGTTTCTCATCGCAGGGGTCTGGAATCGGATGTCCAATCACTGTTGGTTGACAGAGCCTGCCCCTTGAGCTTCATGAGCTTCACGGTAGGTTTTACACGCAAACGCTTCGAATCAATGTCTGAAGGCCCCTGATGCAGGTGGTGCGCGACATGCCATTGCCTAAACCCTAAACCCTAAACCCTAAACCTTAATACCTCCACCCTAGAGCCTGAATTCCTAAACCTTTCGTGGAAAAGCCAGGCTGCCCCAGAATGCCCGTGCATGGACAGTAATGACAGGATGAACGAAGAGGGCCTCTGGAACAGAATAAAACAGGGCATGTAAGAGTTGGGGGGCCTGAATTGATTATATCGCGCACTATTGATGCCCTACTCTGCTGTCACTGCGATTAATGTGTTGGTGTGCAACATCCTGCATGACCTTGAGTATGCAGCTATGTAAACTAGAGCGTCATGATTCTTGCGCTTTAGCTATCAAGTGTCATGCGCTATGTTGGCCCATCAACTATGCTTGGAGGGCTTAGAGGACTTAGCAAGCAGGTTAACCATGCGGATCAGTGGGGTGCTTACATATCTTCTAGGGTTTTTTGTATGGAAGTTTCCTGAAATAGGGGGAACCCCCACAGCGGTTCCCCAACTTCGCAACAGCTGGGGCTTTAGGGGCTTTATAGGGGGGTCGAGGGCTGTGTTGATCATGGCTTCAGGTTGAGTGCTCTCGGGTTTAGGGATAGGGTTTTGGGTTTAGGG